TGCCAAAAATAAAAATTAAAATTAAATAAATAAATAAATGAAAATTAAATACCTGGGAATAAACCTAACCAAGAAAGTAAAAGATCTCTCCAATGAAAATTACAGAACTCTAAAGGGTAAACTTGAAGAAGTCATTAGAAAACAGAAAGAGCAAGCACAGGGTCCTGAGTTCAATTCCCAATACTGCAAAAAAAAAAAAAAAGAAGAAAGAAAGAAAACAGAAAGATATGCCTTGTTCCAAGATCAGAAGAACTAATATGAAAATGGCATTATTATCAAAGCAATCTAAATAGTTAATAAAAACTCCATTAAAATACCAACAACAAGCCAGGCATGGTGGCACATGCCTGTAATCTTAGCATTCCAGAGGCTAAGGTAGGCTAAGGTAGGAGGATTGTATTAGTTCATACTACTGTCCTAGAGGGCTTCTTTCCCCCTGTATCCTCCCTTGCTACAAGAGCAGCGTGGCTACATGGTGAGTTCAAGTCCAAACTGAACTACATAATGAGACCCTGTCTCAAGAGGAAAAATAAAAAACAAGACAAACAAAAATAGTGAAAGCAAGGGAGGATACAGGGGGAAAGAAGCCCTCTAGGACAGTAGTATGAACTAATACAATTATTATGGGAAGTGAATATGCAGATTCCACAAGAAACTCACACTGGGCCAGCCATAGTTCAGCAGAATAAAGCCCCTACTTAGGCAGACGCAGGGGTCGGGGTTGGATCCCTGGTGCACCATGCCCGTCCTGCCCCTGAGGTGCCCCGTGACAGCAAATGAGACTGGGAGTGGTGGCGCGCACCTGTAATCCCAGCACTTGGGAGGCTGAAGACAGGAGAATCACCACAAGTCTGCTCTATGTAGTGGGGCCCTGTAGACCCTGTACTAAATACATTTTTAAAAAAGAAAAAGAAACTCAAATAGAAATTTCATTTGACCCGCTGCACCTGTCCTGGATATATTTCTGAGGTATATGATAGTGGCATATGCGTACCCGGGCTTACAGGGGCACAATTCACAGTAGCTAAGCTCTAGAAGCAGCTTCAGCCTCCAGACAAATGGACAATTCCTGTCTGGGCAACAGACAAATGGACAAAGAAAATGTGACATTTCAACATAGTGTTAGCCAGCTGCAAAGAAGAATGGAGTCAGGTCATCTGCAGGAAAATGGCAGAAACTAGAGACCACCTTGGTCAGCAAAATGAGCCAGACTTGGGCTGGCAAGACAGCTTGGTGGTCTAAGCCCCTGTTTGGCAAGCGCAGGGACCAGGGTTCGGTCTCCAGTACCGCATACCACGACGGCCCCAAGCCAGACACACCAGGCTGGCCAATGAGACTGAGTGTGGTGGCATACACCTGTAATCCCAGTGCTGGAGAGACTGAAAACAGGAGGATCACTCGGAGTACAAGCTGCGTAGCAAGACCCTGTACCAAATACATTTTTTTAAAAAAAATGCCAGACTCAAAATGTTAAATATTGTATGGACTCTCTTACATGAGAAGCTTAAACAAATAACTTATTAACTAAAGAAAAGATGTTAGGAAAGAGAAAATAGGCTTTGGGAGATGAGAACGGGAAAGGGAGGAGCAACCAGATTTCAAATGATCAAGGTAAGTTAAACAAAAGAACAGCATCTCCAAAATAAAACTCATCAGACAGTATTGCTAAGATAGGCTAATAAAAAAAAAAATTTAAAAGCCTATCCACAAGGTAGAAGGAGGTTTGAGTAACACACAGGTCAAGGGTGAGAACCATAGGGACAGACAACTGGGGGAGCTCCTGATGCTGCTCATGTGTCCCTGTGTCTCCTTGGGCCAGTAGCTACCTGCAGCTCGGTTCTCCTGACCTATGGAGAACCATAGGCCATCATGCTGGCCTTGGAGGGTCGCTGCTACCATGGGCCTGGCAGTGTGCTTGGCATGGTGCCTGGTGCAGCTCATTTCTCCATAAATGGCAGTTGTTATTACTAATACCTGTGGAGGCATCCCACTAAAGGGCTTTGGGAATTCAAGAGTTAGTGCCCATCTGCACCGAATCAGAAAATCTTTATAGGGGACATGGCATCTCTACTGCATCTGACAGGTGCGTGTGGCATAGTAGAAGTGGACAAGAAACAAAAGCACAGGAGACAGGAAATGAGGAGGAGGAGGAGGAGGAGGAGGAGAAGGGGGGAGGAGG